CCGTCCAATACTGTAAGCTGATGATTTCATCTGCATTTTTGATTTTGCTTTATACAGACATTTTGTAAGAGTTTTGTTGTTTGTTATTTCAGGGATTTGTGATGAATATGCAGCCTTCAGAGGCAGAAGCTGGGTATGATCTAAGGTTGCCTCCAATGGCGGATCCAGATGCTATGAAGAAAAGGATTGCTGAGGAATGGGCTCCTGCTATCAGGAACATGACCTACACGGTATATGAATCTTGCCCCTAACCTTTACTAAGTAGATGCTGCTTCTGTGTTGGTTATAATGTTCATTAGCTCTTTGGTGTTCTACTTCCATCATTCTTCTGGGTCTTCATCAATTATGTGTATATCAACATAGCAGTAAGGAAGAACAAAAGTGTCAAGCTTTTCTTGGTGCAATCTCAACTGTTAATAGTAGCTAAGTTCCACATTCAATAAGGGTTATACATAAGCTGATCTTGAACATAGACCTGTGAACCGTGGCCCTAAATGAATTGGATGAATGAAAAAGCGTAGACCGAAAGAGCTCTTGATATCTTTGACGAGATACCTAGATCAGAGATCGCATCAAATTTGATAGCTTTTTTGCTTTGGTCATTAGTAAAACATACGTTTGATATGCCTCATCTTACTTTGAGTAACTCTAACTTGTTGGTTACGGTTATTTGAGTTCTTTCTACTTTACCTTGAATAATTCTATGTCCGTAGTTAATTCAGAACATTTGATTTCTTTCTTTCCCAATCTCAATTTTTAGTTTATTTAAGACAAAGATATGATATGTCCCAAGCGAGGGCTCAAGTAAAACCAATCAGTAGCTATTAGCTACAAAGTTTGGAAATATATGTTCTCTTTTGTTTGATGATGTTACATTTTAGGGAGCTTGACTCTGCTGTATAGTGATAACCCTTTTTTAACCTTGATCATATCTTACAGAAGAAACTAAGTGAACAAAAGCTAATCACCTTTTTTGCACCAGATAATAGCGAAAGGAAAGTTAAGGGACCATTTAGGAAGACCTATGATGACTCCAACAAATGATTCCAATCCTTGGTGGTCTATCTTCAAGCGAGCTGTTGAAGCAACTGGAGGAAAACTCGCAAAGCCCGAAATTTTGGCTTCAACTACAGATGCACGATATATCCGCGCTTTCGGAATTCCACTTCTGGGTTTCTCACCAATGATCAATACTCCTATTTTATTGCATGACCATAACGAGGTATTGTAACGATAACATCATCTCTTGACATCTTTGAATCTATACATATTTTTTGGTATCAAAAAACTGATATAACAACTACTTGTGGCCTCATCAGTTCCTTAAAGATACAATGTTCATGAAAGGAATAGAAGTATATGAATCGGTTATCAGCGCTCTAAGTTCCTTTGAGGGAGTATCTGATCAAGTGATTTGAAAGCATATCGTGGCACGCTTCTTGGAGATGGTCGAGGCTCACATTGCGATGACCAAAAGGTGTAATGGGTGTTTCACTCACTATTCCTTGAAAAACAATTATTATGGAAATTCTTCCCTTGGCCCTTTGGCCCTAAGTGGCTGGTAATAATAATGCTTTGTAAATATCAGACATTTGATTTGTCTGCACTCTGCATAATTCTCAAACACTCAAGAGAAATGATCACAAAGTGAAAGCATCTCACTCTTTTCGTACATTTTTTTTTCTATATATTTGGTTGACCCAAACGATTATTCGGGATTAGATTGATCTTAATCTTCAAATTTATAATAAAAGCATATGAAACTAATTATTATGGACCAACCACAACAATATCTCGACCACTTAAGTTGTGTTACGCGATTGTCCATTTTTTGTGTATTTCAATTCAGACCTCTCCTTTTTTTAGGCAATATAAACTAAAGTTTGATTCAGCTATCAACATTAAGTTTTACAGTTCCTTAAGCTAACGCAGGAGCCTCTCGGCTATCTGTGCTAATATGGATGAACTACTCTAGGTTATGTCATTCCTATGTTTTCTATCGAGACAGATTGTTTAGACTTGGTGAGAAGTCGATTCTTTGTTGAGTCAACTGGCAAGAATGATTGAAAACTTGGTGAAAATGATCTCGTTTAAGATGTATTTGAGGACTTTAACTTAATTTTCATTCCTTGCTCTTCAAATATTGTGCTGATTTTCTTGCAAAAAAGGTTTGAGCAAAAAATATTTTATTTTTCCATATAAGTCACACAGAACCGGTAGAAGTGATTTCATAGGGCCGCCTACTTACCGGCCAATATGGGTCGTTGACAACAACAAAAAAAGTTTTGTGGTTCCTTTAATTTCTAAAAGATGTTACCACTCTAAAATGTTACAGAATGTTACAGCCCCAACGAAAGTAAGTTGTAAACTTATGTCTCATATTAAATCACTCAACAACCACATATCGAAATCTTTAAAACTCTATTGTCATAATCTTTCCTTGTTTTCCCCCTTCTAGGAAATTTCTCAATCTTTTGGATATCAAAAACAGAGGATTTGATTCTGTCCCGTCACAATCCACATGTGCATTTGCCTCTACACCATCCAACACACTTCTTCAATCGTTTTAAGAAACTTCTCCGTACGTTCCTCTAAATCTCTACCACTACTTTCTAATACAAAACAAGAGTCTTAGTAAATAAACACGACCCTACTTTCTCTCTGGCTTAACCGGTATCCATTAAATGTTGATTATTTTTTTTCTACCCATCAAACCCTTTTTTCTTTATAACACAATAGTACTATTATTTTTATAAAACAAATTGATTGATTGATGAGAGAGGTACGGAAGGTCATATATTGAGTACGGTGCCAGTTAAGATTGTCCAAATATGAATAGGATATTTTGGGGGGAAAGTACATGCATTATAAGTGAAAGAAGCATGAATCTTCATTTATGATTACATATATATGTTTATTTCCTCAGGTGGGGATCACTCACTTCATCTTCGTTAGGTAGGTAGTTTTTTTTAACTATGGTCATGCTTAATTGCTTCTTTGACCTTCTGTCCGATTATACATGATTCATTGTTAGCTCTTAGAACATAACAGATCACAAGTCATCGTCTTCTTGTTCTTGCATTTAAAACTAAGACCGTCCACACCCAACATTAAGCTTCTAGACACCAAGGTGATGACTGATGACTATTATATCATTTTCTACATTTCAACGTTTTGAAAACGTAATTCTATACATTCATCAAGTTTAAACATTTTAGAAAATTGATTGTGCTATATAATTTGGGCGTGTTAACTAAAAGAAACAAAACTTTAATAATCTATTAAAACCAACGACACCTCATGGTGGTCTAATATTTAAAAACGATTCACTATGTTGGTTGAAGGACCATGGTTCAAGTATTTCCATTGCGATTTCAATTTTGGTTGGCAATTGCGGACGCTTTAATTGGCTACAAAACTCAGCTTTCCATAGGTTTATAAATCATTCAAGTGATTTAGCTATTACATCATTCGAATATTTTGTTATTCTACTATTTATATGACATATTAATCAAACTTTAAAACGATCAGTAGTTATTTTATTGAATGTGATGGCATTGTTGTCGAAACATATATATATACATATATATATACATATATATATATATATATAGTTTCAAACGCAATTTGTGCATGCGTTTACTAAAGATGGTTAAAAAAATACAGTTGGCATTTTTTAAACCTTTTTGAGGGTTTCATAAAATAGTTTTGCAATATAAACGCAAACACTGACGTTAACATACACAACTAACAAAGAAAAGTATTCTAAAACATGAAATAGAAGTAATAATCGCAAACATAAATAAACAATTTTTTTTTTGACGCAAACAATTGAAGTTAGTTTTGTTATGTTTACTTTGCCAGCACTTTCCTCTGCATTTTCCAACGAACAAATCAGTTGATTCGTTTCTTGGTATCTGGAAAAACCACCTGCCTAATTAAAATTATACGAGAAAAATAAAGTTGTCTGGCCAGAACGTGCACATGGATAGTTTAGTTTAATTTTTTAATTACTCGATACGCGTCTTAAATTCTAGTGCCAACTAATTATTTTAACTGCAGATCAGTTTTTTTTTTTTGTATAAAAGGAGTGTAGATTATTCTAAGGTTTGACAAAGGAATCTGAATATAATATATTATGATTAATTAATTTAGTAAAAGCCTTTTTAACAGAGAATTTACGTGGGGAAGAAAGGGACACAAAGAAGTAGTTAACGCGGTTTTGAAAGCCCATTGAGACAGAGATGCAACAGCTGTTTTTCTTCTTGCTAATAAACATGACTTCAGCTACTTAATTTAACGTTTAAGATTCTTAATTATGTTTATACGTCTATTTTATACGTCTATGGTCTATAACTTATAACCATGTGAATTTTTTTCCATCTCACGTATCGAAATAATTATTCTTATGATTAACTTTGTATTTTGTTTGTACGTAGAATATCACATGCTCTAGCTCCTAGAAGTTGCCTCTCAAAACAGAATCCAATGTATCTAAGCTCCTAATTCCTATAGTATTTTACAAATTCTCTGTCGTTTCTTGAAATAGATACTTGGTTTATATATTGAGTGTTGGTCTCTTTAGTAATTAGCTTTACCAGTGTTCAAGATTTTCAACTATTTAAAAGCTCATAAGTAGTTACATAGTGGTAAACAATAGTGTAACTAAAGAATTTTTGAAGTCAATCAATAAATATGCATTACTGATATAAAATATAAAAAAATAAGGAGGATTCTCTTACTAGTGATCTGTGATTGGGTGTTGCATATGGGATTCTGATTAAGGTAAATCCTTTTTAAAGAACAAATAAAAACCTGTCTTTCACAATTATATAAAGAAAAAGTATTAATCTCTTTGTGTGTGCCCCATACTACTTTCTTTGACTATGTTCATAGTATTTTTCTTTAATATTCTCTTTCCACTTTTGTTCTTCATATCTCATCTATAAATAGAAACCAACCATTCTTCTCTTCCAACTTCCTTCTCTAAGTTAGTATCAATGGTGAAAACACTTCAAAAGGCGACAAAGAGAATGTCCTCTCCATCCTCATCATCATCTTCTTCATCATCATCAACATCGTCCATAAGCAAGAGTAACATGATCAAGAAGTACAAAGGAGTGAGAATGAGAAGTTGGGGTTCATGGGTTTCAGAGATCAGAGCGCCTAATCAAAAGACAAGGATCTGGCTCGGTTCTTACTCAACAGCTGAAGCCGCGGCTCGAGCCTACGACGCTGCGCTTCTATGTCTCAAAGGATCTTCAGCTAATAATCTCAACTTCCCAGAAATCTCATCTTCTATCTACAATACCAACAACAACGGTGATAACAACAACAGTAGTAACATGACTCCTAAGACCATACAGAGAGTAGCTGCTGCAGCAGCAAACATAGATCATTCTTCCTCTTCTGTCTCTACTTCCTCTCCATTGCTTTCTTCATCTCCATCTGAAGATCTCTATGATGTAGTCTCTATGTCTCAGTATGACCAAGAAGTAGTCACCTTGTCTGAATCATCATGGTACAATTGTTTTGATGGTGATGATCAGTTCATGTTGCCGTACTTGACAACAACACCTGCTGATGATTTCTTTGAGGAAGGAGATATCAGACTATGGAATTTCTGTTGATTCAGCTTAATTAATTTGATCATACCATATTTTCTTACAGTCATCAAAAACAAATATTTATTTGTTTCTATATATAGACTTCAGTTATGTTACTCATACATTGTGTTATACAATTTTTTTTTCTTTTATCGATTCTCTCACATTCTGTATATGTTGCTGGCAAACATATATATATATATATATATATTAGAGAAATATTCAGTAAAACTTTTATAAATTAATAACGTTGGGACCATAAAATTTTATTAATTTATCGTGATATTAATTTATCTATAAATTAATAATTATTAATTCATAGAGAAAATTTTGATTTTCACCTATAATCTTCTAAAAAATTCTTTCAAATAACGTTATATTTAAGAATTTAAATGAATCTCTTGATAAAAATTATAATTAATAATCATAGCTATTATAATATAATAGTTTTAACCAAAATATACATAATCAAAAGTTCAAAATTGATAAGAAATCAAAGCTATTATCCTTAGTACTGATGATGGAGTTAAAAAAATACTACATTACATTTAAAAATATTTATGAGTACAAAAATTAATTATCACATAAAAAAAATTCACAAAAATTGAATGCATATCAGAAACCAACAGTAAGAGCTAATGATGTAATAAGTAAAGAGATGAACTCTAATGATATTTCTGTTTTAAATAAAAACAAACACAGTATTTATATTTTAGTATAGTATATTACATATATTTGCATAAATTTATATAATTATTAATTTATAGTTTTGTTGGGACCATATATTTATATAGGGATTTCAAAAAAGTTATTATCTTATTATCTTATCAAATTTTGATAGATTTTTACATTAGTCCGACTTAGGACCGGCAAAATTTATTATTTTATAGTGATTATTAATTATTAATTTATCGAGTATTAATTTATAGAGGTTTTACTGACTACGATTTATCGAACTTTTGGAGATCTTTGTACCAAAATCTAAGTTATACAATATTTTTAGTGAGACTGTTCACTGATTACTCTACATTGCCGTGGTTAATATGCGTATAACGGGGTAAAATAAATCCTATATATATTCCGTATAATGCATTCATCAATCAAAGAAAAACCTCGTCATCAATCAAATAGATATTTTAATTCTGATTGTAAGTATATACACATACATATAAGCTAATGAGCCAAAGTGAAAGTAGACAGTTGTACCTGGAAATTTTACAATGCCAAAGAGTTAGCAGCAAGTTTCATAAGGCTTGTCGTAGAAGTCGATCGGTAACCCTACTTAATTACTGTTTAATTGAATATAAATTACACTTTTAGAAAAAATGATATAAAATGAAGGAAAAAGAAAGAAAAGAGAAGAGACAAGAGATGCAGAAAGACTTGTGACTTGTGAGTGAGAATTGGTAAAACCAAAGAGAAAGAGTTAACGTGAAAAAGTGTGTTATTTTGCTTAGATTCACGCAAAAAATATGACATCTCCAATTTACTCCAACATTGGTCTGAAGACAAATCTAACAGTAGATTTGAGCAGAAAGCCACATGAGTTGTTTTTGGTTTCTTGTTACGTGTGTGTCTTCTTGATCCATATAGTGAAATGGGTCCCCATTTCCTCATTTTTCTTATTTACTCGCTCTTTCACAGACCCTATCTCTATATTTTGTTGAAAGACGACGTATTTCCCACGAATCATGTAGGTGTGGATCCACCGAAAATTTCAATTTCAACTTACATCCCCACGAAATTAAATTTCAAAACCTATTTCCTCACTGAAAAAAAGTTCAAAACTTATTTATTCACCAAATGAAATTTTAAAACCAAATTGCACATAAACTATAATTAATTTGGTTTACTGCATACAAATACAACTCTAACCAAATAAATCCAACTAAACCGATTACAACCCAATTACGATTTTCACCATGTTTTTTCTTCTCCTTCTTCTTCTCTCTCTATCCCATTTCTCTCGATCTCTCTAAATTTCTGTTGTTTTAAGGTTTCATTTTTTTTATCTTTAATTAATATTAAATTTAAAATTTTTAATTTTAAAACCCAGATTGAATAATCGAAAATTAGAATCTGAATATCTGATCAATTAGAAATTTCTTGTTGCAATCTCAAAATCAGTCCCTCACTGTCTCCTCTCTCCAACATAACACCCGAGACTGAAAATGAACTTTAAACCAAAACAAACAAGATTAAAGCCAAGAGAAGGAAGAAAAAAATTGATTCCTAACCCACAAAATAAACGAACAAAATATAAAACAAACTCAATTTCCACATTAACTGAAACATAGCAAAAATACAAAATTCTCGACTCCGAAATTGTTTCATACGAAAAAACCTTAGACTTTATCTCTATCTGAATCGCGAATTCCCACACTTCAGTTTGTTTCAAGACACAACGAAGAGCGAAAACCTGGGAAAAGATGAACACGACGATAAAAAGAACGGGTCTGGTTGTGTCGATTAGTTTATACGTGAAGACGAAGAAGAATAAGAACAGGTCATGTTGAAGTAAACTTGAAGATAACTTCAAGTCCATGTTAAATATTCTTAGGAGTTATCTAAAAAAAGAAAAATTGTAATTTCATTAGGTTTAGGAGTTATCTAAACCCATTTTATATATAAGGAGATATCAACTTGTGATATAACTTATGAGAGATTGAGAGCTTTAGTTTTTGAGTTAGTTTTCTAAAGCAATAAAAAAGTTATTCTTAAACCTTGAGTTCTTAAGTTTTTAATCGATATTACAAACTAGAATTGGTATCTCTCGATACACAGACATGGGAGATATAATACCTGTGACAGAGAAAACCAAAAACGGAGGAGGCACTTCTTCAATCCAATGTCCTATGCTCAACACAACCAATTATACGGTATGGGCTATGCGAATGAGAGTCTGTCCAAAGTCTACAAAGTATGGGAATCCGTGGAACCAGGGACAGCAGATGAAGAAAAGAATAATATGGCGATCAGTCTACTGTTTCAGTCCATACCCGAGTCTCTTTTTTTACAACTCGGTGAACTCGATACAACGAAGAAAGTATGGGAAGCCATTAAAACACGATATGTCAGAGCAGAGAGAGTCAAAGAGGCTCGACTACAGACACTGATGGCTGAATTTGATCGGCTGAAGATGAAAGAGTCGGAAAACATCGATGACCTCTCAAGGAGGTTATCGGAGATCTCGTCCAAATGAGCTGCTCTTGGAGTAAGCATTGAAGACTCTAAACTTGTGAAAAAATTCCTTAAAAGTCTGCCTCGAAAATACATCTATATTGTGGCTTTCCTTGAACAAGTCTTGGATCTTAACACCAGCAGCTTCGAAGATATTATTGGGCGGTTAAAAGTTTATGAGGAAAAGATTTTTGAAGAAGATGAAGCACAAGAGGATTCAACCAAACTTATGTATGCAAATACAGAGGATCAATCAGAGCAATCAAATCGTGACTACAACGGCAATTGGAATAACAATTGGAGAGGTCGAGGTCGCAGAGGACAACAAGGCAGGGGTCACAGACGATTTAATGGAAGAAGAGATTCATCATCGATAACATGTTACCGATGCGACAAGGTTGGTCATTATGCTTCAGAGTGTCCAGATCGACTGCTCAAGCTTCAGGAAGCTCAAGAAAATACCAATACGGAGACACAAAGTGCTGATGAGCTGCTGATGCATGAGGTGGTTTATTTGAACGAAAAGCATTGCATACCAAGTGAATACGAGACAAACTCAGGAGATGAAGACTTGTGGTATCTTGACAATGGGGCCAGTAATCACATGATGGGAGATCAGAGATATTTTTCAAGTATCGACGAATAAATTACGGGAAAGGTGCGATTTGGTGATGATTTTTGTATTGATATTAGAGGCAAAGGATCAATATCTTTCACTAACATGAATGGAGAAACAAGGATAATGACTGACGTCTGTTTCATTCCTGAGTTGAAAAGTAACATCATCAGCCTTGGTCAAGCCACAAAATCTGGCTGCGACATAAGAAAGAAAGGAGATTGTCTGACAATGCACGATGTGAATGGAAAACTGCTTGCCAAAGCAAATCGATCCAGAAACAGATTGTATAAGGTTCAGATGGGAATCAGAGATCAGCAATGTCTACATTTGTCAACAATTAGTGAGTCCAAGAGATGGCACTTAAGATTGGGACACATAAACATTGAAACGATCAAGTCTATGGTGAGAAAAGAACTTTTTCAAGGAATTCCAAGTGTGAACTTCGAGAAGGAAATATGTGGTTCATGCTTATTGGGAAAAAAACGAGAAAGGTGTTCCCTCAAGCCACCACTTATCGAGCAACAAAGACACTTGAGCTTGTCCATGGAGATCTTTGTGGCCCATTACACCGAGTACTCTAGCTGGAAACAGATACATCTTTGTGCTCATCGATGATTTTTCAAGATACATGTGGATGATTCTTCTTAAAGAAAAGAGCGATGCACTTGCCAAGTTCAAAAGGTTTAAAAATCTTGTGGAAGGAGAAGCAGAAGGAAAAATTCAAACATTCAGAACAGACAGAGGAGGAGAATTTTTTTCTCAAGAGTTTAGCCTTTTCTGTGATACCTCAGGAATAAGAAGACACCTCACTCCGCCATACACCCCTCAACAAAACGGTGTGGTTGAGAGTCGAACAGAACCTTGTTGGAGATGGCAAGAAGCATCATGTAGGATATGCGAATACCTAATTTTCTATGGGGAGAAGCAATTAGACACTCTACATATCTGCTACACATAGTAGCCACACGAGCACTTAGAGACAGGACGCCTTATGAACTGTTTCGAGATAAAAAGCCGAGCATAGGTCATCTCAATATATTTGGATGCATCACATACGCAAAAGTGGAGAAGCCAATGCTAAGAAAAATGAATGATAGGTTGCGTATACTTGTTCATCTCGGAACCGAGCCTGGATCAAAGGCATATCGTTTGCTTGATCCACAAGATCGGAAGATAGTAGTGAGACGAGATGTAGTGTTTGACGAGACAAAAGGGTGGAACTGGAGTTCGAAAAACTCAGAAGAAGGACATGATGGAAGCTTCAAAGTCGTGTTTGGGGAGTTTGGAAATCATGGCATTCAAAGAGAGGATGTCGAAACAGAGCAAGAAATCGAAATAGAGCAAGGGACAGAACTCCCCGTGACCGTAATTGCAGCAGAAGATCATGAGTATATAGACTCGTATAAGGAAAGAACAGAAGCCCAAGATGTTGAGAATCAATCGCCACTAGCCCTGCGAAGATCAACAAGACCTTCAGTGAAACTAAGGAACCTCGAAGAAAATTATGTGTTACTTGCAGAAGAGGAAGGAGAAAGATTGTTAATGTGCTTAAAACGACGAACCCATGAACTTAAACGAAGCCAAGAATTTCAAAGAATGGAGACTCGCATGTGAAGACGAACTTCACTCTATCGAAAAAAAATTAAATTTAGACTCTCGTTGATCTTCCGGTTGGAGTGAAACCGATCGGATTAAAGTGGTTATTCAAACTAAAACAAAATTCTGATGGAAGTGTTAACAAGCACAAAGCTCGACTAGTCGTGAAAGGGTACGTACAACGTTATGGAGTTCATTTTGAAGAGGTCTTTGCACCAATGGCTCGAATAGAAACCATTCGACTTCTCATGAATCTTGCAGCTTCAAATAGATGGGAGATACATCATCTGGATGTTAAAATAGCTTTCCTTCATGGTGAACTGAAAGAAACTGTATATGTTACACAACCTGAAGGCTTTGAGAAAAAAGGATGTGAAGACAAGGTTTACAAGTTGCACAAAGCCTTGTATGGACTAAGGCAGAAGCCAAGAGCTTGGAACAACAAACTAAACCAGATTCTGATCGAATTACGGTTTACAAAATGTTCAAAAGAGCCATCTTTATATCGAAAGGAGCTTGGTGGAAATATTTTGATCGTAACAGTATATGTTGACGACCTGTTTGTTACAGGTACAAGCCGAGAAGTCATCAATAAGTTCAAAGGGGAGATGTCTTTGACATTTGACATGAGTTATCTTGGGAAGTGATGGGTACGGGCCTAGGGTTGTGGTTTTTACAAGCCCATTAGTCCTAAAAAGTTTTAAATTTATAAAATCCTAGTGTCTGAAAGTGCACAGATGTACGTTGTAGGACTTAGGGTGTCGATCCACAGGGAAGATGTCTAATCTGCAAACAACACCAAACTAGGAGAGTAAGCAAAGTCATAAACTCATGGGGATTTTGGGGTTTTTGGTTAAGAATCCTAAACTAAACCTAATCTAATATATATGGGAAATAAAATGCAATGCAAATGAATTGTTAAAAGAATATCTCAAGGGATGTTGACTCAAACTATAGACTCTAAACTCATAGGATGCGATTTAGACTTCTCCGGTTTACTCTAATCGATGTCAAAGCATTTCCAATTAGCCTCCCGGCGATTTATCTTCATCTGTTTCTGGGATCTGCATGGAACTAGAATAGACATGTGTATTATCAACCAACTCTCGCCATCTTAATCAACTAATCTCTCAAATCTGACAATTAACTCTCGCTCTCATGCCAGAATTAAGATCATGCATTAATTATTGAATTCGTATTTGCTCACATCTTCTCAACAGGTAGCTTTCGACTCCTGTAGCGACTATGTTCTTCTGAAGCTAGGTATTGATGATTTGATACAGAACTCTCGGGGCTCTGATCGATCCTAGGTTCAGAGAATAGGTCATAAATCTACTCTGATGAAATATGAACAACTTATAAGAGATGAGAATATGAGATCCAGAATATGGTCTAGAAACTTAGAAATCCTAATCGACATGTATGCCTATCGAAAACTCTTCAAACAACTTGACTCTCTTGGACAGATCTACATGATGCAAGGAATGATAAAAGACATGAGAGAAGGAGAAAGAACAATAGATCCAAGGAAGAATCCCCTTTTCCATCGCCTAACCCTAGAAAAACAAAGTTTGGTGGCTCAAAATCTCATTACAGGAGCGTACACCCGTTTAGGACTGCTAAGAAATGTATTTATAGGTCCTAAGGTCTTCCAGGTTTCATTTAGGGCTTCTCTGAAGAGGAATGGTGAAATGGGCCTTGATGTTGGGCCTTGTGGCTCGTCATGGGTCCACCGGGGGTGAATGTCTTCCGGGGCAGGTAAAACACTTGTTTGCCGCGGGTGAGAGTCTTCCTGGACTGGTGAATTTGGTCAACCTATTCTCCATGTATCTTTTGATTTCACCGTTGGATCTTCCTGATGTAAAGTGTTATCGAAAGATGGTTGTCTCTTCTTGAATGTCTCCAAATTTGTGCTGGATCAGACGGTGAGAAAGTATTCATTTGAGGCTGAACTTTTGACGGTCTGACTCTGAGCTGAAAACGTAGATTTCTTCCATTTTACCATCTTTTTCCCTAAGTTTCCTGAAAAGAGCCTTGAAACTACAAATATAGAGATTTTATAATAAAAGTTCCTAAAACTGATTAAAACCTTTGAAAAATTATTTGAAATCAATGGTGAAAATTGGTAAAATACGGTGTTATCAGGAAGCTAACATATTATCTTGGAATTGAGATATGTCAACACAAAGATGGTATATATATATCTCTAAGTCAGAATCGCTATGCCTTAAAGATTTGGGATGATGCTGGAATGAAAAGCTGCAACCTAACTCATACACCAATAGAGCTCGGATTAAAGTTGTCCAAGACAGAAAATGAGAAAAAGATTGATGCTACAGGATATCGAAAGAATGTTGGCTGTCTCAGATACTGACTTCATACAAAACCGGATCTGACATACTGCGTAGGGGTTCTGAGCCGATATATGCAGAGCCCTAGGGTGTCTCATAGAGCTGCAATGAAACAGTGTTTAAGGTATCTACAAGGTACAACATCTCTTGGTTTAATTTTTGAGACACCAACTACAAAGGTTCCAAAGCTGGTTGGCTACAGCGATAGTAGTCACAATGTTGATCCCAGTGCTCAAAAAATCGCTAGGCGGTAGGCGGACGGACGGGCTCCGACTAGCCTACGTCGAAAATCGGTAATTAATCGCTGATTAATCGGTGATTAATGTTTTAATTAATTTATATTATATTTAATTTTTAATTATTTATATTAATCTTTTTAGATGATTTTGGAATTTAAACCCGCTTATATTTGATTTTGATTTGATTTCATTGTAATTTAGTTGAATTGAAATTGTTAATTAGAGATTATGTCGTCAAAATCGTTAATTGGTTAAGTATTTGATGTAATGTCGTTTTTTAATGGGAAAGAAAAATAATAGGGCTGATTTTAGGCATATTTCAGAAAAAAATTATGGAAATTTTATTAATAAAGTTGGGTCAATTTCAAATTTTTTGAGATTTTTAGGTTGATTTTCAAAAATTAGGCGCAATTTTGTTTTTAATTGGATTTAGGCGGTTTTAGGCGGTTTTAGGCGGTCCTAGACGGTTTTAGGCGGTAAAAAATCGGAGAACCGCTTAGAGCCGCCGCCTAGCACCTAGTCTGGGCGGTCACCCATCGCCTAGCGCCTAGGCGGCCGACTAAACGGCTAGGCGGCCGAGTTTTTGAACAGGGGTTGATCCTGATGATGGAAAAAGCACTGATGGACATATCTTTTACCTAGGAGAAACCCAATACCGTTGTGCTCACAGAAACAAGAGATAGTGGCATTGTCTTCGTGTGAAGCCGAGTTTATGGCGGGTACTGAAGCAGCAAGACAAGCTATCTGGCTTCAAGATTTGCTAAGTGAGGTCACTGGATCATCAAGCGAAAAAGTTGTTATACGAATTGATAACCAATCGGCTATTGCTCTCACTAAAAAC